GTACCAACTGATCTCCTCCATCAGTTGGTCCTGGGGTTGTAGAAGATGATGTAGAAGGCTCATCAAGCAGTGGTGCTGGAGTCGAGGGATTTGGCATACCTGGTGCTGGCATCTGCGGCACTGGTGTTATTGGTGCCGGTGTCTGTGGCGCCGGTGTCATTGGTACTGGTCTTGCCGAAGAGGCTGTAGCTGACGGTGTGCTTGGAACTGGTGTCCCTGGAGGCTTCTGATGACCTTCTTGGGAACCAAAGAATGTGATCATCCAGTTCTCTTCCTCAATTGCTTCAATGGATTGCGCAGGTGAGATTTCTCGAAGGTCTTCTAATGGTGATATAGTCCAGTTGTGGAAATCGCCTCTGCACACCAGTCGCAATGGAGCTTGAGCAGCGTTCAGCTTCGGCTCCAGGTGAGCCATGGTGAAGGGGTGCAGAGAAATCTTGCATCCTCGCACATACCTCAACTTCTGGAGACAGGAGCGAATGATAGCCATCAGTATCGGATCGCTCACCCAGTAGTGGTAGTCGCTGTCCTTCACTTCTTCGAAGATCTTCATGCTGTCCTCCAGGAGGCGACTGAGCAGGTACTTCAAATACACAGTCTCTTCTGCATTGACGCTGATGGCTGGCGGCGTCACGTCTAAAGTCTGCCACTGGCGAAGATGCGAAAGTAGGTTCGTCTTTGCCTTTGGGAATTCGGCCATATCTGCATTCTCCTGGAATGAAGGAGTGCTCCATGTCTGCTGTGGCCGCTCGTCCAAAGGTGCAACGTTCACACTTGTACAGGATCTGGTGATTGCGCCAGTGGTCATAGTGACGTGAGCGACAAAGACCTTGTGGTTGCAAGTACATGAGGAAGTCCTGGATAATGGCCTTGCAGAAGCGAACAGGATACACGGCTGCCATAGCTGTGCGGTTGACACCATTGTGCTGACCTTGAAGTGGTGCATGAGGTGTTCAGTTGTGGCCATTGCATCGACGAAGAGACATCTTGAGCTTGAAGTTCCCTTCTAGTGCAGTTGCTTGTAGTACAGGGTGTCGCAACTCATCACATGCACCAAAAGAGCACTGATCAGTTCTTTTCCTTCTCCATTGCGAGAGCTCCTGATTCTTGATCATAACACTGTCAGTCCACATGCACGAAGACCACGGTTGTTCCATCAAATAGGCCCTGCGGCGATGGACTTGTTGAGCTATCTTGGATTGCGTGTAGACGAGCGCAGGACGTTCTTCATCTCTGTCAGACGGTCGATCAGCGGGCTTCCGACGTGAGGAGGCTGACCAAGGTCCGCACTTGGGAGAACACATAAGGATCTCTGGCTGAAAGAACTCATAGGCCTCGTTGAGCATAGCTTGATGTTCTGGATGGCCAATGTCCCAGCCATAACGGAAGTCCACTGGGAAACCCACAAGCAGTCCTGTCAATGTCATCATTAATGAAAGACGACCAGAGCCAGAACACCATTCCCAAACATGCCAACAAGACTTTGCCTTCTTGGCTTCCTTCATCCAGTGTCAGGAGTCACCACTCTTCGGTTGGTCTTCGTATAGAACTCCTCAGGCATAGCTCGATAGTCCTTGCGCAATTTGGCCTGCTTGGAGGTAGGCAAGTGCTCAGGAAGAGTGTCTCCGGTGTAGAGTGGAAGAGAGCTCAAATTTGTCTGCCACACATCGACAGACGGATTGACAGCAAGAGTGCTGTCCTGGCTGTAGACCTGGTTCTCCTCCGATGCGCTAGATGATGTCTTGCTTTGGTGCTTGGACTCCTCCGATGCGCTGCATGAGGTGTCCTCTAGGTGTGCCAAGGCCTCGGCATCTCTGGTCCCGCAGTTAGCAGTCCTCTGATCAAGAGGCTGCTCTGACATACACAAGGGCAGTGCCAGAGATGCACAGGCGGCATCACCTGTTGTCTTGTCTTCAGTCACATGGTGTCTCCGGAATGTCGAAGTGCACCTTCTTGGATTTTGATGTATCTCTCACTGACACATCAGAACTCCGCTTCAGTTCCGGGTCGGCTGCGCTGATCATATGCTGCCAGAAGACATAGGAATGATCTGGCCATCGTTGGCGTGAGGCCTGAGAGATGTTGTCCATGAAGTGGCATACATCTTTGATAGCTTCTGCGCAGCTAGTGTCTTCATCAAGTGGAAGAAGGTAGTGGTTGGAATCAGTCAGAAGGACGCGGAACATGTGGAGCGAAGGCTTCTTGGATGAAGTGTCCCATGTAGTGAGGAGTCCATCACGGTTGTCAAACCAGCATGAATGCAAAGAAGCATGCGTTGCACACAAAGCTGGGTTGCCGACCAAGGCTGGGCATCTGGAGCCTTCACCTCCGATCACATCTGCTGTGTAGCTTGCTTCAAGATGAGGAAAAGGTAAACGGAGGTGAACCTTGATCAAAGCTTTGTCAGGGCAACCACTGATGCCGGTGATGGTGGCTTCAGACTCACTCCAAGAGACATGATCTGCCTTGTCCTTGTAGCAGGTGTCCAGGAGGTCACGTAAGGTCTCACTGCCAATCAAACCAGCTGCTGCTCCTGGGTCAATCAGTAGGCCTCGGCGTTGTTGACCTTTCACTGAATGAAAGCAGCTTTGGTTGGTGTGTAAAGAAGTAGTAAAATTGAGCACACGTTTGGCTGGATCTGAGGACGGTGTATTGGATGTAGGTGCTGTAGCCGTCGAAGACTCTTCTTCTCCTCCTGCGACCGTCACTGGAGCCAAGGGGCCTCGCCAGGCCAAAAGCTCTTCATTGCGTGGAGGTGTCATGTAGATCGGAGAGGAGGTAGTCCTGGTAGGAGAGCCTGTCTCAAGATGTAGGCCTTGCTCTGGCTGTGTTCGTTCAGTGAGCCAGGTGCTGGGATAGTCATAGGCGACATCCGAGAAGAGGCCTTGCTTATACTTTCCCTTGCCAAAGCCTTTTCGATTCTTGCCAAAACCTTTGCCTTTGCCGAAACTCTTGCCCTTGTTGTACTTGCCATAGGACTTGCCATAGCCCTTGCCTCTTCCTTTGGGATGCCATGGACGAGAGGATTTCCCATGGCTGTCAAAGCTTTTGCCTTTGCCTTTTGACTTGCCCGAAGTATTGACTGGGCACTGAGCTGCCATGTGCCATCGAGAGCCACAGACAAAGAAACCACCGCTGCCTTTGCCCTTCTGGTAGTAGTCCTCGGTTGAATTGACGGCAGCAGCATCTGGCTCTTGTATAGGTGATGAGGATGAGGCAGTCTGATACTCTTCTTCGTCATGGATGGTGTATTCTTCGGCTTGGGGCCATGCCGACTCTGAAGGCCACGAATCTCCAGACCAAGGGTCTCCTTCATCTTCTTCATACCAGGTGTCCAGCTGGTCATAATAGGAGTACTGATCTTCCCAGGCTGAGTATGGCCAGCCATTCCAATCCTGGTAGAACGTCTGGTCGTGGTAGGGGTCAGCATCATAGAACTCCTCATGAACGTCTCCGTACAGGTCGGTGGAGTTCACAGCTGGTTCACCTTGTCGTGCATTCAGTCTCAAAGCCAAACGGCGGGCTTCTTGAAACCGCGACATGTCACTGTGGATCTGGAGTTTCACGTCTTCGATGAAGCGGTTACTGAGGCCGGAGTGCTGGAAGTAGAGGTAAGTCTTGGCGACAGTTTGAGCCTCTTCATAGCGAAGCTCCCATTCAGCTGTGTACTCTTGCAACGACATACGGCCTCTCTTGAGGTTGAAGAAGGCATCCAGGCTCGAAGTCGTGAGCTCTTGGTCAGTCTGACCAAATGCTTCGCGAAGGGCATGAGCTAAGGCCTGAACACCAGAGGGCACGTGGTGCTGCAAGATGATGTTGGGATCTGTTGGATCCCTGACTTCATCCACTGAAAGGCGAACAAGAGCAGCGTCGCCATAGTCGAAGTTTCCATCTGGCCTCGGCAGCTTCAGGCTCGTCGCCAGCTTTTGAGCCTGTCCTGACGAACGGCCTGCGATGAGGGGGCCAACAGCCTCGTCGGGTCCGTCATAGACCCGGTACCACAACTTCAACTTCTCCAGGTACAACTTGAGGGGATAGTCCGGCAAGTTCGGAGCCCATCCTAGCGGAGTATCACGACGGTACTCCGACAGCGGGATGCCACAGCCTGGAGCTGGCAGCAGCCATGAAGGTGGACAACTCCTTCTTGGTGACCTGGATCAATGAGGCAAAGATCAAGTGAGTGTCCTCGAATTCAAGGGTCGGGTACTCTGCGGCGACAGAGGTGTTGTGAAGATCCCCGAACCAAGCCGCTGGGCTTGTGGAAGGCCGGCCAGCGGAGAGCGCAGCGACCCAGAGGGCCAAAAGCAAGGTGGTGAGCTGAAGGAAGCTCGCCTTCACGAACCACCTGAAGCCCTGGCCCGCGGTCGTGGCGAGCAGCGCCGTGGCGGCGCAGGTAACCTAAGCAGTGGAGCCAGGATCCACCAAGAGAGGGCAGATGACTCCACTCTCCCCGGATGGCCTGGCTCCGCTACCAAACTTGTTTTGGACCGGCTCAAGGATCCTGCGGTATGTCAAGGGTCTGTACAAATGATCTCATGCCTTAGTGCACATGTGGAATCTCAGGTGCTGGATTTCAAATTTGTAGGAAGGGTGGCTTTGCAAGGCTTCGCGAATTGGCTTCGCCTGTGTGGAATCTAAGAGCCTACACTGGCTTCGCGAGCCTTCGCCACACATATTGTATCACATTAAATGCACTCGGAAACATTTGGCGAGTTATAGTCGAATTAATGTTATCATGTGATAAACAAATGTTACTCATGTTATTATGACTTCCTGATATTTTCTGACCACTTAGTGTTTCAGAAGTCTCAACAACAAAGTTCGAACAGCCAAACTCGTCCGTAGACCAACACTCGGCAAATCTGCCACACTGGTATAATTACACCTCATACCATCCGATACCCAGCCAGGTTTGACATGACGATTTCTCCCAATGGCCGAAGCTCCTCAGCTCGATGGTGACACAGCATGTGACATTTTCACTCCCTGAGTCCACTAACCTCCATAGATCTCCAAGTCCGTGCTCATCTCACGACCTGCAATTCGCACGAATTCCACTGGGCGAAGTTGGGAATGTGGGAAGGAACCCTGGACTCCATCCACGGGCCTGACGGTTGGCCCATGGCAGGGCCAACAAAAACAAGAACAGCCCACGGCCTTATCTATTGCTTCTCATCCATTGCGTGCTACTCTCCATCCCAGAACATGGTATGGGCCCCGGGCGTGCAGCGAAGTGATCCTTGAGGAGGTCCAAGCCTAAGTCGAAAACACTGAATTGCCACGGATGAACTGCTGAGGCAGCAGCCAAATAAGGTATGGTTGACATTCACCTTTGACACAGGAACTTTGGATGATGGATACCAATGTTGCCCCAGGACCACGACAACCAATGAAACAAAGAACATATTGGAGTGACTCACGTGAAAATAACTGCACTACATGGAGTGCCACCAAAAAAGTCCTGGAAGTTTGGCTCTGGGGAGTTCCCAACAGTAGCGAATATGCAGCAACGGATGGCGAGTTTCACCAGCAGTTCCTTCTTTGTCTCTGTCGTTGCTTTATCCTAATCCCAAGGCCCAAGGCCCAGAAGAATCCACTAGGAATTTGCTTTGATTTCTCGTGAAGCCAGTCTTGCAAATCCGTTGAAGTATTGAACTTCCCCTGAAAGGGGGTGCCCAAGAAACAGCACCTGGGGAGGCATGCCTCAAGGCTACACTAGGGAAACGTTCAAAAGCATCAACCGGACCATTCAAATTGCATCGTCCCTGGACACGGGGCGGCCGTCTTACTGTAAATGTTGAGAAACGATCTGATAAGATGTCAGCCACTTCGCCACTTCTTTGCTTGGAAGCAGGGCGCACTCTTGTCGCTGGTCTGTGCTTATACTTCTAGGGTGAAACTGCAACTCCGGCTATCTCCGGCTACTCCACTTCAGACCTCACAGGCGCTGGGTGGATTTCATGACGAGAGGCCAAAAGTTCCCAACACGTCTCAATCAGCAACGCCAGGATCGACCAGTTTGACTTCGCAAACGCACTCACTAGAATCTAGAACCACCCTTCAAACGATGGTTTGGTGCCCATGTGCAAACGCATCAAATTTCCCCGAAAGCATCAGAGCCGTCTTGCTTGTTCTACCGAACATCCAACAAAAGAAGTGAAAGTCGTTGACATGGGTGCTTTGAAAACACAACTGGACAAACCTCATCACCAAGTGGGCAACTCCTCCATGCCCAGTGCCATCCTCTCCTTCAATGACAAGACACATGTCCTGTGCTGCTGCATCCGGCGATTTGATCTTCGGCCTGGCAGCATCAACGCCTTCATAGCCATGCCGCTATGCCAGCAAGAAAACAAGATCACTCGGAAAGTGACTACAGGTGTGGAAGCAAATAAACGTAAGCAAAAGTACAGCAAATGAATTCCAGAAATATTTTCTCCAAAACAACATGAGCATCTGCCAAAACATAGTCAAGTTAGAGGCCAATTTCCTGAAGTTCACGACCGTTCTTCACTAAATTAATCAGCGCACGGTTTGGCGGTTGCTCAAATGATTGCATATGATGGTAATTGGAGATGTATCATGCGAAACATTGAATAAATAAATTGCATAACACATCCATTGAAATGTCGTATGGGTAACACAATGACAGCTCGAATGGGGTGTTGTAGTCGATTTGTAGAGGGGACCGACCAAACAGTTCTGTATCGCCGGTGCAAAATAGCACTCCGAGGCTTCCAACACGATCGATTTGATTTGTCTCTGCCATCGTTTGTGCCGACCTTGCGGGAGCGTCCAGCACAAAACTGTTTACGGAAGAGACGTGTTGAGGCATTCCTTGCCAATTCATGACTTGTGCTTCTTCTCGTGTGGGATACGAGTACTTAGACGACCAATTCAAAAAGAACGTCTCGGGGCACCTCGATCAGGCATTCCATCGGGGATATCGGTGCCAATTACGAAGTCGCTGAACACAGTCGCTGAACGCACTCAGTGCCAGGCTGGTAGCAATCTGCACAAAGGTTGAAATCGCAAAGATCTTGAGCGCATCTGTATTGCGTGCCCTGTCTTCCACACTGGTCACCTTCAAGCTTGCAAAATACAGCACTGTGTCCCAAGAAAACATTCCACACGCCAAGAACTTTGAGAGGTAGCAGCGACGAAGCTGAAACGGCACTACAGCAGCAGTGGTACAGGACAAACCAACAGCTAAGTTTGTGACAGTGGTTAAACAATCTTGGGTTCGACCTCAAGCAGTGGGCAGAGGCAGCACATCGTGCTTTGGCTGCCTGCGAAAGGCAAGAGACGAGGCTCCAAAATTTCCCTACAAGTGCTGGTTGCAATCTCCCTTTGACAAACTGTATGTTGCAAGAGGTGACAGTGGCAAAGCCACATGCTATGCCACTGTTCCGACTGTTCCCGGTGTGTGGCATGGCATGCCATTCATGTGCAAACATAAGTATCATAAGTGAAGGAAATACAAGGCCAAATCTGCAAGTGCTCAAGGGTTTTGTGACTGCACTGCGATCAGCAATTCCACTTATCTCCCAAATGTTCAGATTCAGCCACTAGCCCACTCATTGGCTGCTAAATGTGACATCTTGTCTTGATGTGTAACAAAACATTGCAAAACACACAAACTTCACTAAGAAACTGTGAGGAGTTGGGTAGGAGTTGCAACAGCAACATCCAGGTGAACTAGCAGAAAGCAAAATATCAAAGTCACGAAAGGTGCACCAAAAAACACCACACCACACCAGGACCATACAGTACCATATTGCCAAAGAACTGCTCTTGGCACACCATGGAACCAGGGATCGGATCACCCAACCCCGCTCCGGCGCCTCTCGATTTGGCTTGCAACGCTCCTCGATTCGCTCGTTGGCCTCCACGCCGAGAGCTACGTTCCCGGGAACGAGGCTAAAGACACAAAACCCGCGCGGCACGCCTGGCGTCCGGCGGCTGTCTGGCCGAGGGGATTTCCGTAAAGGCGGATGTCGAGAATGGCGTCGTTCTCTTGTACGGCCTCAGCCAGCGCCTGGAGCCGTGCAGGAGCCCAGCTCTCGATCAGGGCAGGGCGCCTGGCACCTGGGCCTGGCCTTGGCACCGACCTGGCCGATTTGATTGTGGAGAAGGTCGATGTGGGCAATGCTGCGGTTCACCTTCAGCACTTCAGCCAACGCCTGGCATCAGAGTGACATGGAGCGAAAACAAGCAGCCCATCACAAAAGGATCAAGAAGGGATCCTTGACCCATGTCCAGTTATCTGAGATTACCTCCCAGCCACCTCCATTGCTGCTATGTTTAGGGAACAAATGCTGATTGAAAGTTCTGATGTTCCACCCTGTTACAGAGCGGCCTTCCTGCTCTTTCACATCCAGGATGCTGTCCATGGGTAGTGATTTTGTGGCCAAGCTCAATTGCAATCTCAAAACCTCACAAAGAAGAACAGCTAGGCTATAACACATATATCATTCTAATCCCTAATGTTTTTGGAGCAAACACCGGTCATCACGCATGGCCTCCTGCGCATCACCCATTTGGTCCTTAAGGATCCCCTTGGGTAGATCTCTCTCGTCTTGTTCTTCATCAGACCGATCACCGGACCGATGACCAGGACCCATCAAAAACATGGACGTCTGTGGCCTTCGCGCCGGTGTCGGTGACCTCTTGGTTTGCAAGGTCGAGTCTGGAGACGCTGCGATTCACCTGAAGCGCTTCAGCCAGCGCCTGGCACGTCGCCCCACTCTCCGCCACTCCGCCCTCCACGGCTTCCAGTGTCCATCAGTCCCGACCAACGTGCCCGGCCTTGACTCCATTATCCCCAAGTCGCTTGTTCCTACCAAACAAACCAATCTCGGTCATGGCGCCGCCGCTCTTCAATTCAAATGCCAAGTCCTCTCGCCGTTTACGGACCCGATCTCGGAAGATGGCAGGCCTTAAGGGATGATGGCGATCCCTTTGGATGGACTTGTCTTCTTGGATTGAATCAAAGTTTCGCTCACACAACTTCGCGACAAGAACTGCTGTGGCAGTGTCCTGGATGCGCGGATGTCCAGGAAATGCGTCGGCCGCGCGGTCTCTCGCAGGCACGGCCGCAGGAGCCTGTGATGTTCTGACAGTGTGAAAGGCAGTCTACCGTCAAACAGCTTTGATGCCTCGCAAGGGTATTACTTACATGTCTGACTAGGTCACAAAGATCCAGTCTACTTGAAACATGAAGCTACCAGTGTCAACTTGTCTGCCTCTGCAGCTGGGATAAATCGAGAGGACCATTGAATACAGCTGCAACTTACAAAAACAAAACGACATCCTGTGTCCCTTAATGTCACAGAATAGATTGAAAGAACACAACGCACACAGTCGGCCTCTGAGACTGCTCCGTTGCCGTGGAGCCGTTCCTCAATTCGTCGCAGTGCCTCGTGCAACGATTTCCGCTCAAAACAGGGTGGAACCAAAACCGTCTGAGTTCCAGGCTTGCTTCCCCACATCAGTACGGATGTCATTGAACCCCAGCCCCAGGTGAGTCAGCACATTGTTGACTGACAAAGCATCTGCGATTGCCTGGCGGAAGTGGGGTGGTTCCACTAAAACATAGTTCCATCATGGTAGTTTCCTTTGTCCTCGGATTGAATTAATAGTTTTAGAATCTCCACTACGAGTACTACTTCATTAACTCCACTCTAGTCCGACTTTGTGAAATGACTTAGGAGGTGTAGCATAAGTGGGAGCTCTGGCGATCTTGAAATACCACTACTCTTAATGTTATTCTACTTATTCTGTGAAACTGAAGCTTGCATCATGTGAGTTTTTGCTTTAAGGCTGCCTCCTTTGGAAGCTGATCTGCGCGGAAGACATAGTCAGGTGGGGAGTTTGGCTGGGGTGGCACATCTGTTAAATGATAACGCAGGTGTCCTAAGGTAAGCTCAATGAGAACAGAAATCTCATGTGGACCAAAAGGGGAAAAGCTCGCTTGATTTTGATTTTCAATACGAATACACACTGTGAAAACATTGCCTATCGATCCTTTAGGTCTGAGAAATATTCAGCTAGAGGTGTCAGAAAAGTTACCACAGGGATAACTGGCTTGTGGCAGCCAAGCGTTCATAGCGACGTTGCTTTCTGATCCTTCGATGTCGGCTCTTCCTATCATTGAGACGCAGAAGTCCCAAAGTGTCGGATTGCTCATCCGCCAATAGGGAACGTGAGCTGGGTTAGACCGTCGTGAGACAGGTTAGTTTTACCCTACTGATGAA